TTCAGTTAATTAAATGTATTAAACATTTCTTTTGTTCCAAAGCTAATAAAATGTACAACAGCTGTTTGCTGGAGGCAGTCTTGAACTGGTAACAGACCTAATGACCTCAGATATGGGTGATATCCAGTTAAGTCCTCCTGCTAAGGGAATCAATGTCCTCATTTAGTTTAACGAAGAGAAGGACGAGGGAGGACATGATAGCAGTGTTCCAATATCTCAGGGGTTGCCACAAAGAAGAGGGAGTCAAGCTATTTTCCAAAGCGCCTGAAGGCAGGACAAGAAGCAATGGGTGGAAACTAATCAAGGAGAGAAGCAACCTAGAACTAAGGAGAAACTTCCTGACAGTTAGAACAATTAATCAGTGGAACAACCTTGCCTCCAGAAGCAGTGAATGCTCCAACACTGGAAGTTTGTTAAGAAGAGACTGGACAGCCATTTGTCCGAAATGGTGTAGGGTTTCCTGCCTGAGCAGGGGGTTGGACTAGATGACCTCCAAGGTCCCTTCCAACTTTATTATTATTATTTATTATTATTATTGATGGATCATCGCACAGTCAGCCGGATGTTCAGACTGGATTTGGCATTTTGTCTACCTATCGAGTCCTTACCCAGGACCTGGGATAGGCAGATGTGGATGCTTGATGGTATTACAGATATCGTCGCAGGATGGAAGCAGTTCCTAGTAAGGCCGCCTTTTGCAATTGACTAATAGCGAATTTGTCAATGCCAATGGTGTTCAAGTGGTGCTCCAGTTGTTTTGGGATTGCACCCAAGGAGCCTATACTATTGGTACTACCCTTGCTTGCTTTTGCCACAGTCTTTCTATTTCTATTTGTAGGTCTTTGTATTTTGTTATCTTCTCCAGTTCTTTCTCTTCTATTCTGCTGTCTCCAGGCACTGCCACGTCCACTATCCAGACTTTTTTGTCTTTCTTATCGACAATTGTTAAGTCTGGGTTGTTATGGTGCAGGTGCTTGTGTTGTTGTTGTTGTTGTTGTTGTTATTATTATTATTATTATTATTATTAAAATGGGAGGAGGGTGCCAAAATTGAAGATTTCTTTAGAACAGATGGTGGGACAGAAGCTATGGAATACAGGCTATCATTCATATGATGTTGGGTTTCATTCAGCACATTTAGTTTATACATTTCTTTTAAGGATGTGGAATTTATTGATTTGGTTTGATGAGTAATATGTCATCAAACTATAGGGTAAATTTAAATTGTGAAATAATAGGCTGATAACAAGCACACAATTTATTATTGCATAAATAATATTGCATGTGAAAATAATGGCCTTGCATAGTTTTGTGTCTGACGTAAATAACTAAATGAAGTAATTCATCACATTTCCACAATGATGTCACAACATGCTTGATATCATTGTGGCTTGCAGTTGATACCTCTGTGAAGCTGATAATCCTAAAAGCTTCAAAATGATATTTGGCTTCAAAATGATAATATTTGCCAGCTACCCTTGCTCTTATTGTATCCATAATACTGACCTTTAATAGATTTCTGAAAAATGTATTTTAATATTGATTCCTTGCTGGGTGCTAAATTAGATGTATTAATAAATTACAAAAGGCTACACTGTAATTCAGAGCAGTTACAAGAAGGACAGCTAGACATTATTGTTCACCCCAACACAATAGCACATCAACTCAATTTTCAACAAAGAAGTTTGATAGCATGCCCTGCCCACCTCTGTAAGTGTGTATAAGTAGACACCAACAGAAACCTCATCTATATCCAAGTTAAAGCCACTACTATAAAATAGCAATATTCTGCCATCAAACTGCTTTGTTCTCCAGATGAGTAGCTATCAAGGCAGCAAGGGGGAGATAAAAACCTCTCATCTCATTAATGCTGATAGGAAGCATTATAATTTAGTGAATAGAGGGCTTATATTGAAAAGTACATGATGCTCAGTGTTAGTGTCTAACCCTGTGTTTGTTACTTTACAGCTACATGGAAATGGATGTTTATCTTCTGAGAAATGAAACTAAATTTCTATCAGTTTTCTGAATCGTGCATGTTGATTCAGCTAAGCATCAGTATTCTTAGAACCAAAACTGGATAGTCAGGATTTCTATTGCTAAGCTAGATGATTGTTAAGTGAGTCCTGCCTGATTTTACAGCCTTTTTTGCCACAGTTGTTAAGCGAATCACTACAGTTGTTAAGTAACTGCAGTTACTTGTTTGCCATGGTCCTTAAGCGAATCCGACTTCCCCCATTGACTTTGCTTGTCAGAATCAATCTGGGAAGGCTGGAAATGACAATCAACTAATCTGGGACACTGCAATCATTATAAATATGTGCTGTTTACCAATCACCTAAATTTTGGTCATGTGACTAAGGATGCCACAATGGTCATTAAGTGTGAGGAACCAATCCTAAGTCACTTTTTTTTCAGTGCCATTGTAACTTTGAAAGGTTGTTAAACAGATGATTGTAAGCTGGGGATTACCTGTAGCCCCATCGATCAACAGTTTCAAATGGTAACATAGAGTGGAAGCAGACGAGCTAGCCATTGGACTAGTATAAAAAGGCCTATGGGCTCCAGATTTCATCTAGCATTAGGGAGAAAAAGATAGAGATGAAAATAAATCGCTGTTGCCAGACTACTTTCATGCTAAACTTGTTCTTTTATATTCTTATTGGGTGGCTTTTTCTGTTTTTGCTGAGCATACATCCTACAGCTATTCTATAGCTTTTTTTAAAAAAATATAGTAACATCAGAAACATCAGAAAGGTCATTCTTGATCTATCTTAGCTTCTGCTAAAATGAAAAGGGGAGACATTCCCTGGAATGTTGCAAAATGTCACATATAACAATTTTGTGGAATGTAAGGATTGGAATAAACTTGGAGACCACACAGGACACTTCTGTCTTATAATTATATTATATACACAGTACATATATACATATACATACATACATGATCCATCATTCAGGAAAACTGTCAAGGACTATATTTTAACTCAAGAATATTAATGAGATGGAAAATATCAATAGAATTCAGAGAATTGGAAAAGATTTTTTTCAATGTTCATTTAACAATTTTAGATTGAAAGTGTAAAGACAACTAAGGATCCCCAGGGCAAAATAATTGGCTGTAAAATGTAATGAACGTTAAGTCTAGTTTCTTTATACCTCAGGAAAACTAGCTATGCTGCTAGATATTCTCCGAGTTTAGGTCAGCACTTTTAAGAGTTTTGAAGAAATGGACAACTTACCAACATATCTGATTCAAGAATATTGATGGAACTCACTGAAATGGGGAGAAATTTCTGTGATGCAAACTGGTAATCTAATATTAGACCTGATTATATATTAGAAAGGAGAGTAGGCCTCAGGGATGAGTGCTCTCTCTTTGTTTCAACATCTACATCAGGCTGGTGTGTTAGTTCATCCATTGCCATGGGGTGAGTTACCATCAGTATGCTAATGATATCCAACTATCTATCTCAGCCTTTGGTGAGTTAAGCAATGCCATGAACATTTTATTCAGTGTATGGAGATTGTGAGAATCTGGATGCGGAACAACAGGTTTCAGCTGAATCCTGGAAAGACTGAGTAGTTCTGAATCTTGGGATGTATTGATTCTAGGACTATGCAATCTTTACTCTACTGATTCATCTGTATTTGGACTACTCTGTCCAGTTCTCGGTAGGATATTTATTTAAAAGAGAGATGAAGAAGTTCTGGTAGAATGGAAAAGATACCTCCAGATAGGGGAGCTCGCTTTCAAGCTAATTATTGAGGGTTTTAAAAAGCTTTAATTTTTAACTTACAAAACAGAAGAGTGTGGTAAAGTATACTTGCAATTTTCAACAATAGAAAAGGTTCTACTTACAATAAAGGACAGCTCTATTCTTAGTTGAAATTTAGAGCAGAAAAAGATTGGAGGATTGAAATGAAAATGAAGGAAATTCAGGCCAAATATTTAGATTAATTTCTTGACACTCGGAGCTGTTGAACAATGGAACACACTATGATAAAACCTTACTGGAGATGTTCAACTAAGAGCTAGAAACATAATAGCAAATAAGCATGCAGTGTTCATACTTTGGTTATTCAACTGAAACCCAACAGTTATACGCATAAATAATTTAACATGGAATAATCAAGCTGCTGTTTTAATTTATTAAAACATTTAAATCCTCTCCTTCCCACCTCTAATTTTTAATCAATTATTCCTAAGATGCTTAAGAACGTACTGTATGTAAAAACATAATCATAGTTTCAAATAAAAATTAAACGCATGTAAATTTGTGTACGTAATATGGAAAGATTATATGGTGGCAAATAATATAGGCTGAAAATATGTGCATTGCTGCTTGGTAGAAATCATCCTCTCTCTTTATTAGAATTCTTGTCCCAGATTTGTAACTGGATACAGAATTACTGTCCTGGAGGGGAAGACAACTTTTGTTTAATAAGCTTGCATAAGAAAATCTCTAGTCTGAAGACATGATCTTAAACATACAGCTTATCTGTAATGGTGTGTATCTTAATCTTTATAGTGAAACCTGGGTGCACGTTTATTGTGAGGATGAATTTGTGTAAGTCCTCAACTTACAACAGCTCATTTACTGACCATTCAAAGTTACAACAGCACTAAAAAAGTGACTTATGACCATTTTTTTCATGCAAACGTTGCAGCATCTCCATGATCATGTGATCAAAATTCAGACACTTGGCAATTGACTCATGTTGCAGTGTCCCGGGGTCATGTGATCCCCTTTTCTAATCTTTTGACAAGTAACTTCAATGGAGAAGCTGTCAATTTCAGTGATTCACTTAACAACTGTGGTAAGAAAGGTCATGAAATGGGGCAAACTCATTTAACAACTGTCTTGCTTAGCAACAGAAATGTTGTGCTTAATTGTGGCCATAAGTCGAGGACTACCTGTTTTCACAGCTCTGTTAAAGATACAGAGAAAGTTGCTAATAAAGTAAAATATCTCATTTTTATTTGATGTTCTCTTCTAGGACAGTTTCCCAGCGCGATTTGGAGGAATTCATTTTGTCAATCAGCCATGGTACATTCATGCCCTTTATACAGTTATACGTCCGTTTTTAAAGGAGAAGACAAGGAAGAGGGTAATTTTATTCATCTTTGTTTCCATCATATTTCCATAACTTTATGAAATGACTGATAGTCTTGAAAACTAAAGAACAAATACATGTTTCCAGTGTCTTGTTTTGTGACCTTAATTATATACATATGACAGATAAAACATTAATGCAATTAGACTTAGAATATTCTTTATTGGCCAAGTGTGACTGAATACACAAGGAATTTGTCTCTGATGCATAAGCTGTCATTGTACATACAAATACTAACACATTTTAGAATACAGCAAAGGATAAAATGGATTTTCGATTCATTGTTTCTTGAACGGCCCAAGTCAGTCCCATTTACTAAAAGCTGAATAGTTATTTGCACAGCTGCCTAAGCAGACCTGGTGCATCTTAAAATCACTGTTCTGAAATGGGGGAATTAAGCTATGTAATCTTGGTAAAAAGCATTATTTCTATATATTCACATAGTCCATGACAGATGTGTTCATTGGAATCTCATCCAGCAGCTTAAAGATAAGTGTTGGTTGAACACTAGGGTTCAATTTGTTTCTGTATTTCTCGTCTGATGCTTATCAATGCAGCATGTAAAAATAGTAAAAAAAAAATCATTATTCTACTTTGAATTGGAAGTGCACAAGGTGGAAACACCATTAAATCCACACAGAGAATGACATGCATACATTCACCTGAAAACCATATCTCTCACTAAGGTCCCAAGGTGTCTTTTTTTTTCAAGCTGCAGCCAAGTTTCAAAAGCATCTTGAAATAGGGAATTTAATAAGCTTGCTCTTTGGAAGCATAATGCCAAATTCTATAGAAGCTGAAGGCAGTTAAGTTCTTCAATTTTCCAGTTGCTTCTCTTTGTGACCTAATGAGTACCATTCTAACAGAATTGTCTGTCAGTAACCTCTTTGAATTCTTGTAAACTGTTGCTTCTATCATCAGTGATATTATCCAGTCACCTTGTCTTCTATTGATCTCCTTTTTAAATTGTTGCTTAGTATTCCATTCCAATTGTTACTTCTTGATCATCATATACATTCTTCAAAAGGCAGAGGGAAAAGCCTGGGTGTACTCATGTTTTTAAAGGCTAACCGCAATTTGTTGTGGTCTACCTAGTCAAAACCTTTGGGTAATTAATAAATTAATAAATAGTCATCTTTTTGGACTTTTTGTTATTCAATGGATCATGGGCATCTGAAGGCTTCAGATCAAAATGGGGAGAGATGCATTGCACCATTGGTCTTAAGCTCTGCCCCTCTTAGATATGCATGTAATTTCATGATGCACTACCATTGGGGTGGAGCTTGTATTGTGCCAATGTAATATATTTTCATCGTTCTTCCCTTTTTTTCACTGTATTGTGGACTTGGGTGATCCTAACTCTTCTAAATCAGTGGGTGCATAAGCCTCTTTACAAATATTTTAGTAATCCCTGAATGGAGCTGAAGACCTTAAGGATCCATTAAAAAAAAATCCTTTAAAAAAGGCACCCTGACATGTCATAGCCCAAAATAGCTTGAATGTTCCCCATAATTTGCCTTGTGCAATTGAGAAGGACATGCTTAGAGCTATTTGGATTATAGAAGAGGATTCATTTTCATTGGATTCCAAATGTTATTTGGAAGTAGAAATATGAGAATATGACTAATCTTCAGCAGCATCTTTAGGTAACCAATTGCATTTTTTTTTTTTTAAATCTTCTGAAACGTTTGGGAAATCTTCTGTGGTAAAAACCGCATCTTTGAACTGTTCAGCTTTTCAGATAGCTACATTTATTATTATAGATTCTGATAACTTTACAGCATGTTATATTCTTCTTTTCCCTAGATATTTCTCCATGGAAACAACCTCAACAGTCTGCACCAGTTGATTCATCCTGAAATTCTTCCTTCTGAATTTGGAGGAATGCTTCCACCTTATGACATGGGCACATGGGCAAGAACACTGCTAGATCACGAGTACGATGATGACAGTGAATATAGTGTGGACTCCTATAACACATCTGCAAAAGAAGTTGAAAAGGAGCTCTCACCCAAATCCATGAAGAGGTGAGTTCATGATGCCTTCGGAAGCAGGAGATGCCTAGGTGATCTCCCAGGTCAAATAGACAATAGAATAACAGAGTTGGAAGGGACCTCATAGGTCATCTAGTCCAACCCCCTGCTTAAGCGAGAGACCCTGTACCATTTTTGACAGATGACTGTCTATGCTTTTCTCTTACATTATGGGACCCTAATTTTTTTTTTTAAAAAATAGGGATGGGAAACTAAGTAAATCTTTGGATCAGATTGGTCACATGGCAATCTGGAAGTCCTTCTCTCCTCCTTGAACACCCTCCTCTGGTGTTCTTTCCTTTGCTTGGAAGGCAGCTCAATTCTCCTCCCTGTCCTTCTCTATATAGAGCAGTGGTTCTCAACCTTTTTAATGCCGCGACCCCCAACCGGTCGTAAGTCAAGGACTACTCAACCAGTCGTAAGTCGAGGACTACTCAACTGGTGCAGCACCATTTGCAGAATGGGACTTTTGGCAAGCTCAGCAGGGCAGAGACAGCCTGGACAATTCCTATTGGCTTTTGAAAGCCAATAGAATTAGACTCTATTCAAGAGTCTAATTCCTCTAAAAGGGAGTAGCACAGCTAAGGAAAAGGGGGAAAAATGGCGGACTGCGTTGTTTGGTGACCCCCGTGAAATGGTCGTTCGACCCCAAATGGGGTCCCAACCCACAGGTTGAGAACCACTGATATAGAGGATTAAAGAATTGCTTCCAATCTTGTTCAGATCAGAACAGTTGCTTTCAGCTTCCATTTGCAAGCAGAAAACTCCCTTTCTCTATATAGGAGGAGAAACAGAGCCTAGAGGAGGAAATAAAGCAGTATTATGGATGAAGATGCTCCCTCTCTGGATATAGAGATGTACTATTTACATGGCATCTATGCATCATTATGCTTGTGCATAATAAGAGAGGAGACCAACTTTTCATTCTTCAGACACTTCCACCAAAAAAAGAGAGAGGGAGAAAAACCACATTTGCAAATTTATCAGACCTGGGAAACTTGCTGTACCTATGCAAGCCACACTGACTGTTTTCCCTAGGAACTAAAGAATGTCCATCCTGGTAAATGTAGTGAAGCATATGCTCTCCAGGGCCTTGGACTGAGCCCTCTCAGCTGTCCTTGTTGCTTATCCTTTCCCCTTTCCCACCCCCTCATTGTGGATTAGTATTCCCTCTGCATTTGCTGATAGCTGTCACTCATTTCTCATTTCATGATCTCTGGGCCAGAACATCTACTAACTGGTTCCCATTGTTAGAACGTCATTACTATTTATTTAAGCAATGACAATAAAACTGATACAGGGAACCATTTAAGGATGAGTTGGAGTGGGAAATCAGTTGATTTTAAAGGTCAGCTTTGAAGCTGAGTGTTAGCTTGAAAGCCTTGTAAATAGGCAAGTTTTCTCACACATATGCAGATTTTCCTCACTTTACAGTAGGTGAATTTACTTTAGGCAGGTTTTGCAGGAACATGACCCTAGCACTGTGGTAGTGAACCTATGGCACGCATGCCACAGGTGGCAGCAGAGCCCTCTCTGTGGGCACACGCAGCGTTGCCCCAGTCCTAGGCCTTCAGCTGGGTTTTATAAACCCTTTTCGCTTTAGGCCTCTGCCATCTTGTGCAAAAAAAAAAAAAAAAGGTTCAATCAATCAATCAATTTCAACTTCTCGGAAGAAAAAAAAATCTCACAGAGTTGGAATTGATTGATTGAACTTTTTAGTCCCACCCAGTCTGCCGTTACCACCGCAGCAACGCCCACCCAATGGGCCACGCCCACCCGGCACCTGATGATACATAAGTGGATTTTGGGTTGCAGTTTGGGCACTTGGTCTCTAAAAGGTTCACCATCACTGCCCTAGCACAAAGCAAGTAAAGCCTGTGCTTAGCATGCACAAGGGTATAGTTAGCATGCATTCATCATACCAACTTGTATCTCCCATACTATTTATCCAGATGCTGCACAATTCTTTCAATACCAAGTTAGACAGTATTCCTGGGGAAGGAATTGCATATAGATCTGCACTTCTGTGCTGGGATCTGCATATAGAAGAGCCTTATGGTTCCACAGAGGTTGCCGTTCGTTGCTGAGCTGCTAAGCTGTGCAATATTCCAAATCTGCTGAGCTGAACTTTGCTGGAGGATAGCACCCATGCCTAATTCTACTTGAACTGCCCACATCGCTTCAGGCAAATGTTGCAATGCCCTCTTTTAGATCTTATTTTGTAACAGAGCCTTTGCCGTCCTTTTCACGTACAATATTCATGTGCAGTTTCATGTACAATAAACTGGGGACTTTCCCTCACAGGAACATTATCCTGTGTAAGCTGTCAATTGCCTATCAACTTTTGATGGAACCCCTCCTTATCCCCTAAAGCCCTCTTTCAGATGGATGGTATAAAAGGCTGCTCCCTAACCAACCTTTGCCCATTCCTCTGAAGACTTTCAGCTGTAAACTTTCAGATGCACTTTTTGCTAGTTGATCAGCTTGTCTTCCTAGCTATAGTGAAGACTTTTGAGTGGAGGGCTCCCGGGAATGAAGAGCGGGAGCCATATAAAATAAGAGGCAGAAAAGTGCTCTCTAGCAACATGGAATCAAACTTTTATTCAGCCTTTACCTCCCCTAATGGCAAAAGCAAGGCGAGAGGGAGGTAACTGGGAAGAAAATCACTCCCACCCATCTGGAAGTGGCAGCCTCAAAGTGAACCAGCTTTTAAAAAAAGAAGGTTGGCATTTAGGTGGAGAATGCATGTCAGCAAAAGCCACAATAGACTGAAAGGAGAGGCCTGCTGGCCAAATCTGACCTTTAAATCACTTTTTCCATTGCTGCTTTAAGAAACATGGCTGTATTTCTTTTCAGGAGGGTCTTGCATCATCCATCCTGTTCCCCAAGCATATTTTCTGGTTGCTGACTTGCTTTTTTATAATGCGAAGGAGCTTGCCTTTTTGTTGTTGTGAAAATGAGTCACAATTGGTTGTTGCTTAATATTTTTCTAGGTCTCAATCTGTTGTGGACCCCGGAGTGCTCAAGCGCATGGATAAAAATGAAGAAGAAAACATGCAGCCATTGCTTTCACTTGACTAGCAGTCTGAGCATCAAATATGAATTAGGGTGGAAGCTATTGCTTTTCAGAGCCATCCATCGAGAAAGAATGTACAAGTTGGAATCCTATTTTAACGTAGCATATTCTAATGAGGCAGCAGGTTTTGCCAGGCATCCTAGCTACCACTCAACTGGAAACCAGGGTGGGGAAAAAAATAAACAGGAGAAAATATCAATAATATATTCTCTTAAGTGCCAACCTGTTTGTAAATAGTCTTTTCCTTCTCTGTGCATTTGTAAGTAATGATAGGAATTATACTACAGGAAAAAAGAAAATAAAGTGGCCATTAATGTGTCCGATGAAGGCACTATAAAAGAACGGAATGAACTCAGACAAAAAATAGAAAATCAGGCCCTAGATAGATGTCATCCTTTTTATACAAAGCCATATCTCCACTGCCATACTGCTTTATTCGTTTCTCGCAGTTTCCATTTAGCAAGATAAGATCCATAAACATCGTAACTCAGATTTGCTGGTTTAGAAGATTGCCACAAACCTTGCCAGAGCTCATCACGGAGATTATAAAATAATTCACTGTGGGTTGGGGGGAGAAAGAAAAGAAATAGTTATAGAGACAAGAAGCTAAATACCATTTCTTGGTATATTTTTTGGAGACATCTGATTTTCACAATCTGAATTTTGAGAGCTGTTTGGTTCCTGAACATGGAAGAAGTCTCATCTTGGTTCCGTGTCTGAGAACTTTATCCTTGTGGAACCTATTTCGTAATCCTCTGCTCCTTCTACTTCGCAGATGGATGAATCGTTTCTAAACTGTACGAAACAAAAGTCTGGATACATATCTATATATTTTTACCAGTCTCTATACATGTAAAGTGTCATTGGTAGATAAGTATATTTAATCAAGGATTTATATAAAAAAATCATACCTATTTGGTGTGTTTAGAGTTTATTATATATTGTATATTAAGGCAATGTCATTGTTAACTTAGTAAAATATTAAGTACATCATCCTCCTTGGAGCAAAACTCAATTGTTAGAAGAATGGTGTGCTAAGGCCATCTTTTGTTTGTGATGTAATTGTGTAGATGAGATATGTGCCATATTAGACTGAAATAACATTTTTACCTCAGAAGATCAAACAGTACCTGAAGTGGACTGTAGTTTAGGAGTGTGTCTTCATCTTTGATTGTGCTGATCTGCATGTGTATTTCTGCCGTACATCAAAACAAGAATTGCACCCTACAACTATCTTTCCTTCAGAAAGATTTAATATTACAATATAGTTGAACAGGAATGACAAGATCTCTTGCTTGCAAAAAAAAAAGTATTATGAATAAGCTTTCAAGGATACTTGAAATCCTTGGCCATGATGGGATTCATTGTAATCCTAATTTTAAAAGGTCTTTGGTTGAAAAAAAAAAAGCATGAATATGTTCTGATCACTCTGCTCAATTCAAAGATTATCTCTGCAGGCTTCATGGGTAAACTATTACATCTCATGTTGGCTCTACCATTGTTGTGTGATTCAGACGTTTACTCTTTTCATCAGAAACATGTTTTCTGGTGAGTCATTTCCATTACTAATTACTATTAATATAATGTGAGGCTGTAGTACCCGCTAGACCATTTTATATGCAATTGAATGCTAAGATAAGAAAGGCGCATTTGCCTTAATTTCTCTTTACCTTGTGTTGATTTTGACAGTTGTGTTCTTCATAGTCACAGGCATTAACTTGATTGTGTTATTAAATCATCCTCATTTTGGTGGTATAGGGCTACATACAAAGTTACACCATAAACTTCCATCTCTCTTGTGGAGTGTCCTCAGGAGGATCCTTGTAGGGGTGAGCATAAGACTTCAGTAAGAAAGTTCCACTTGGAATGTATACTTTTTATATCTAAAATGTCCTATGTATTAAGCAGAAAATTCTCAGTGGAAGAATGTTGAATTATTGCATCAGAACTGATCGCTACTGGTAGAAATGACTTAGCAAGACTTGATGCTGATCACATCAGAGTTCAAGGCATGTCTCTGAAACAACACTTGCATCTCTTAGGATATGCTACAGCTTCCTTGGAAGGATTACAAAAAGTAAGCAAAAGGTGAAGTCTTCTTCACATTGAACTTGACATGGTGATTATTCATGATTTTTTCCTGAATAATCACTGCTACTGCCTTCTTTTTTATTTCTTTATTTTTGCTTCCTAGTCTAGCTTATAGCTTGAGATTTCCTGAGGGTCTGTCATCCAAATATTAAAAAGATCCAATCTTATTTCACTTTCCTGGCCAGCCATGTGTTATTATGTATGGTCACTTGCTGAGACATTAGAGCAGGAGTCCCCAACCTGTGGGCCATGGTCCACTACCAGTCCATGGTCTGTTCACAACTGGGCCATGTGAGTGGCTGGCTGGTGTGAACGTGTACGTGCTCGCACACAGCCCCACTCGTGTGAGTGCCACAGGTGCTTGCGGTTCCACTCGTGGGCACTTGCAGCTCCACTTGCGTGAGCATTGTGAGTGCGCATAGCCTCACTCGCAAAAGCAACAGGTGCTCATGCACACACACACGTGTCTGCCCCTCCTATACAACCATCACCTCTTCCCCCCGCCCCCCCCCGGGCTGCTAATCCGGAAAGATTGGGGAACTCTGCATTAGACTACATGTCAATGCATTCAGAATTACTGCTGAAAAGATATTGAACTGGCAATAGCAATCAGTCTACTTTCTTTAGTCAAGTACTTATATAAATCATGTTTTGAAGCATATTTGTCACATTCACATTTTCTGTTTTAAGTGCATAGAGAAAAAGAAAATGGCCAGTTTTTTGGCATCTAATTTTGGCTTTAACCTATCTTCTTGTACCGTCACCATCAGAAGGAAGAACTTGACACATCTGTACTGTCCCAGGGTAATTTCAGGCTAATAAGTTAGAAGTAAGTCAGTTAATTTATATTTGTCCTTTGAAGGTTCTTGAACTTAAAAGTCTTCTGAGCACCTTCTGTACATTCTTGTAAGGCTTTATAGGAATAAAAAACAGCTGGACAATTAGACCTTGGTACACATAGTCCTCAACTTATGACCACAATTGAGCCCACGGTTTTTGTTGATAAGTGAGACATTTATTGAGTTTGGCCCCATTTAACAACCTTTCTTGGAACAGGTAATTGAATCACTGCAGTTAAGTTAGTAACACCGTTGTTAAGTGAATCTGACTTTGTTTGTCAGAAACTCACAAAAGGTGATCACATGACCCCAGGACATTATAATATAACGATCATAAATATGAGTCAGTTGCCAAGTATCTGGATTTTGATCACATGACATGGGGATGCTGCAATGGCTGTAAGTGTGAAAAATAGTCATAAGTCATTTTTTTCAATGCTGCTGTAACTTTGAACAGACACTAAATGAACTGTTATAAGTCAAGGGCTACCAGTCCTATCATCTGGTAGAATTAGGATGGTAGAAAAAAATATCTTTTTGGATCTAATGCTCAGCAATACAAGCAATAATTATACAAATACATTCCCCCCCCTGTAAAATAGGAACAGAACAAAGGCACTTGGCTTTTCAATATTTTGCAATATTTTGAGGGCAGTATCAAAACACCTTCATCAATTACATCATAATGTTTATGGAACAGAAGAGAGAAAATGTTTAATATGTAAAGAGTTATGTTCGATGTAGTTCGTTAACTCTATTTAATTTTAATTACATGTTAATTTATCAGTTTCATCTAGATTAATTAAATCAAATTTAGTATTCTGGCTCTGCCCAATTTTTGGAATAATGCCATTTAAAAGCCACTTGTGAAGATTAATCCAGAAAGGAGTGGAATGAGTGATCCTTCTGTGGATCATTGGGCTGGAGTGAAAATGTGATTAAATTGCCTTTTAATTCCAGAGATGGTTTGGGATAAAGGGCTTCCCTGTAGTACCAAATCTCTCTCAAATGATTTGAAAGGGAACAGCCTATAATCTTCACTTCAGCTATAATCTTGAAATTCTGAGAACAAGTCAATCACTGCTGTCCCATTGGCTGATCATTAAAAGCTAAAGCTTTCCCCTGTCCAGTTGTGTCTGACTCTAGGGGCGATGCTGAGCTCCATTTCTTAGCTGAGGGAGCCAGCGTTATTCCATGGTCATGTGGCCATGTGCTGTTACCTCCCCATGAAGTGATACCTATTTATCTACTCACATTTACATGCTTTTGAACTGCTAGGTTGGCAGGAGCTGGGACAAGTAACGAGAGCTCACCCCATCACATGACACTCGGACCTGAAGTGGGCTCTTAACATTGCAGCTGACAAGCTCGGCGACTTTAACTGCTGACTCATTGTGCCCCTCCCCCAACTGATCATCAGGACCCTGCAAAATATATGTATATATCATTCAATCTTATTTAAGCTCATACCAGCCTTGGAGCAAGAGAAACCCTCTTCACCTTCATTGTGAACCTGAAACGAAATGAAATGCCTTCTTCCTTTTCAGAAGGTTTTGCCCGGTTATTTTCAAAAAAGAAAGAAAATTCTACCAGGCTCTCGTTTCTTATGTTTTTAGAAAGTTCATGAAGAGTTGTGAAGGTGGCGTAACAGAATGTCACCCATTTTGCAGCCCATTTCTCCCAGTGCCTATAATGGCTATTGGCTGCAGGTGGAAAGCATGGCAATATGTTGTAAGTAAAAGCAATTTTTTTTTAGGCTGTAAGAAGAAAAATTCATTGTACCGTCCATAGTCCATACAAAAGAAACATAACAATAAAAGCAAGCAGCTCGGAGCTAGGCACAGCAATTTGATTTATAGAAAGGGGGAGAGGAAAAAAAATCTCTTAATTTTACCACTGCTGAGTCAATTCAGCATTTTTTTAAGGAGCTTGATCAAGATCAGGAACTGGGGAGAGAGAGAGAGAGAGAGAGAGAGAGAGAGAGAGAGAGAGAGAGAGATTTCCTTCATTGCAGGAATGGACTGCCTCATGCTTGGCAGAAAAGAAAGAAATTGTTGCAAGATAAATTCTTCTTTGAGATTGAGATTATAATTGGAGTTGCACATCAGCTGAGCCATTCATAAATCAACTAAACTGCCATGTTCAGCCTAATCTGGAGGGATCGCAGAGACCTTGAGCTACTTTTCGAACTCACACTTGCCTCATCCTATAGAAGCGTTCAGAGATATATTTGCATAAGCAGAGAGCTTGAGGAACCCTCTTCATTTGTGTATAGTATTACAAAAAGTCAGTACAGTTTCTCTCTGCTTGCCCTCCTTGGTTAAGCAGTGAGGGAGGACCCCCAAAAAGCATTGCAAAAAGATGGGCTCTTTCTATAGGACTGTATTAATTCATCTTCTCTTTTTTCTTAAAAAGAATTGAACCTCTGCTTGCTAGAAACAAGATTTTCACTGAGAAAAAAAAATAGGCAGTATTCTAATTATTTGGAAATATTTTATATTTCATGAGTCTTTCTCCCAGATATACAGGTAGTCCTTAGCTTACAACCACCATTGGAACTGGAATTTTTGTCATAAGCCAGTGCAGTTATAAAGTGAATCATTAAGACCAGATCCAATTTTATGACCATTTCTACCGTATCCATTAAGCAAATCACACCTTCTTAAGTGAATAACATGGTTGTTAAATAAACTTGACTTCTGCAAATGACTTTGCTTGTCTGAAGCCAAGGAAGATGACAAATTCCAATCATGTGACTGCAAGACACTGCAACTCTTACAATTGTGAGTTGGTTGCCAAGCGCCTGAATTGCAATCACATGACCATGGGAGTGGTACAATGATTGTAAGTTTGAGAATGGGTCATCAGACATATCTTCTGAGGCTATCGTAACTTTTAATTGTCAGTAAACAAATAGTCATAAATCAAGGATGTTTGTGCCATAGTTCTTATTCACAGCAATAGGGAGGTCAGATTTTTTTTTCTTGGCATCAAGGGTCAAAATTATTTAATCTAATATAAATAATCAATGATCAATACTACACTTGAAAGGTTCTGCATAGACCAAGACAAAACTGTGTCTGGTATGATTGTTTGGGATTTATTTTTTGCATTTGAATTCTCAACTCTATGTGTGCTTAATTGCAATTTATGAAATGTCTAATTGATCTATTACTACAAGGAGCATTTGGAAAGATTTCTCAGGATGTAACAGATTGATTATGCATTATTCATCATCCACCTTTTAGCAAAAATAGAGATATTCCAGAGGAAATACTCCCCTTGTAGAAAGTATGGTCTTCTGAGAGCAGTGACAAATACCACTTGGATAGTACATCCTATTTAAAACAGATGCAGATTGGCAGACAGTGATGGTGGAGATTGAGGAAATAGAGAGCATGCTACATTATTTAATCCACAAGTAGATGGGCAGTTCTGTAGATCACATGTGCCCATCCTCATAGCTTTTATAGACTCCCAATTTCTGCCTTAGTTATTGACTCAATCAGGCTGAAGAAATCACACTGCCTTTCATCAGCACATATATTCTTATATATGTCAGCTGTGATCTTACTCTGAATCCTTACTTCATGGGCAACCTCTTCCTCCTGCATCAACATGGGGGAAGCCTCTCCTCCCAGTTTGCTACATAACATTCCATATCCCCAGTTGTGACTTTCAGGCCTGGGGGGGGGGAACATATTGCTTGCTGTTGATTGGCATAAAGCTTACCACCACCATTGATGACATTACTCCTGGCTCAAGTTTAGCTCCTTCAGTATTTGTTTTTCAGACAATAAAAAGATTGATAAAATAGACTTATGGAAGGTGGATGAGGACAGCTATGGCACACTCTTCTCTTCCTGCCCTCTCAACCATGAAAGCTGAAGTTGCAATTTGACTTTAACTTACTGAACCATAATTAATCACAGTACTGAAAACCAGTTAAAACCATCCTATTTGTATTTTACACTCTGATGTGAATTACGAATTAGGAAATGTGGAAAGAGTTCAGGAAAATTTTGGAAACGTTTTAAAAATAATACAGATAGTCCTTGACTTTCAACCACAATTGGGAGTGGAACTTGTATCATTAAGAGATGCAGTTATTAAATAATGAGTCACACCTGGTTATGCAATTTTTTTAACTAAGGTTCCAAAGTAAATCCAGCTTCCTCCATTCATTTTACTTTTTGTAAGCCCCTAGGAGAAGTTGGAAATGGTGATCACATGACCCAGGATGTTGTAACTGTTGTAAATACTGTACCTACCAATTTCCAAGTGTACAAATTTTGATCCTGTAACTGAGGAGTTAGTGTGAGTTTGATCCTCATCCTTATAATAGTAATCTGTGACAATAGGTTGTAAGTCATTTTTCTCAGCACCATTCTAACTCTGAATGACCACTAAACAAATAATTGTAAATCGGGGACTTCCTGTACTGTGGATTATCCACCTCTAAGAATTCTGCATGTAACTCTGAGCAATGATCACCTTGTGAAGTATCCAAGAAGCCAAGCTTAGTGTTACTAATAAACCACCAATTTCTGTACCCCATTCTGTGTCCCATTCAAAACTAAAATATCCTCATCCATTACCCATTTCTCTCATGCATTGTCTACTGCAGTTGTGGATCTCAACAAAAGTTTGTGAAGTTTCATAAATTTATACTATAGATACCTTTGTCAACATTTCACTTGTAAGCAACTTGGCTTATTGTTGGTTTTCTGTGCTTCACAAAAGTTCTGTTGTCTGCTTCTCAGATCATCTGCATATGCCAGTATGGTGTAGCATTTACTGTACAGTGTTGGATTAGGATTGAGCTGTGGCAGTTTACAGGCCAAATTTGAGCCAATTGCTCTCAGTTTAGCCTACTTGATAGGTTTTTCCAAGGATAAAAAAAGGGAAAACCCTATGTAAGCCACCTTGATTCAGGGAGAAAAGATGGCATAGAAATCTACTAAAGAAAATAAAATTTGCATAGAGAGAAGACTGATTGATTGATGTGACAAATGTACACTTTACAATAGGTAAAATCCAGAAGCGTTATCAGTGTTAAGTATCATCAATAACTGTCCTGTTTCATCACATAAAAAAAAACCAAGAAAAAGACCTTTCATCATAATCTTATTGCCAAATAAGAAAACAAACCAAGCATAATGTAAATTGGAAAAAAAAAAATACTCTCTAAGACAGGGGTGTCAAACTGCCAGCCCCCAGACCAGACACGTCATCTGGAAGCCACACCGATCCCATTTCCGGCAATGGCAAAACTGGCCCAATACGTTGTGCGACATCACGTGACGTCACGAGTTTGA